AACCTCATCTTAGCTCAGGAAGGTGGTACCGTGATAACCTTAGAGCCCCTTGCTCAGGCCCAGAGGGCTGATGTGGGCTCCCCCGTGCCACAGGGGCGTCCTCACTGGGTGGGCTGCCGCAGGCTTGGTGGCACCTCTGAGGGGGACCGGCCGCTGCCCATGCCTGGGAGTTGCCCCCGTCTCCTGCCCGATGGGAGCCATGGTCCAGGAGTAGATCGTGTGTTTGACCGCTTATCTGTTCCCCCAAATACCCAGAAGCTCCTACAGCAGGGCGGATGGGCTGGCAGTGGGGTGCCCTGCTGCCCAAGACGAGGTCCCTCCCGGGAGCAGAAGCCACCAGGTAGGCAGGAGGTCACCTTGCAGAGGGCAAGGTGCCAGGAGGGGGAGGCGGGAGTGAGGAGAACCTGAGAGTCCTGAAGGCAGAGAGGCGGGAGCAGAGCTCAGGGAGAGAGCATCCAGGCAGGGTCCACCTGTGCAGGAGCCCCAGTCCCCCCCAGCCCCAGGGTGGAGGGGGGACATCTGGCACCCTGGGAAGCAACGGCCTTGGTGTGATGGAGGGTAGCATCCAAGGGGTGATTGGGGCGAGGTGAGGCTGCATGTCCCCAGCTCCTTCTGGGGCCGTCCAGCCCTGCTTTTCCGAAGGCAACAGGGAACCACGAGAGGGGAGCCGGAGATGCTGTGGGGTGGGGGCAAAGCCATAAGACAGGGTGGGGTGCCTGCAGCCCAGTGGGGAGGCTGATGGCCAGAACTAGGGACCTGAAGAGAGGTGAGCAGGTCTCAGAGCCATGTGGGAAACAGAGTCCGTATGGGGGTGGAGGAGGGGGTCGAGGGTGAGGCTTGACCAGGCTCTGGGGGCCCTGGGGGCCCCGGGACAGCCAGAAGCATTGAAGTTAGGACCGTGGGGATTTCAGAGCCCATCTGGTCCTGTGTCTTCTGCGAAGGGCAATGGGGCGAAGACAGGCTCCCATCAGGGTGGGGACTGGTTTTCCAAACCCTGGCTCTGTGGAGGGAGGCACACCCCTAAAGAGGGCAGAGGTTGGGCACACAGTTTTGAGGGAAGACCTCCTTTTTTTTAATGTTTATTTTTGAGAGACAGAGAGAGACACAGTGCGAGCAGGGGAGGGGCAGAGAGAGAGGGAGACACAGAATCCGAAGCAGGCTCCCGGCTCCGAGCTGCCAGCACAGAGCCCGACGCGGGGCCCGAACTCACGAACAGTGAGATCGTGACCTGAGCCGAAGTCAGGGGCTTTAACCTTAACCGACTGAGCCGCCCAGGCGCCCTGAGGGGAGACCTCCTTAATGTGTGCATCCGGGTAGCTGCTAACAGGGGCAGAGTGCGCGCCTGCCCTGCCCCCTTGCAGCCCAGCAAAATACTAGCAGAGGGATGTGTTTGTTCGCTGAATTCTTCAGCAGTCAGGATCCTGCTGGCTGAGTTTTGGGGGGGGCCTCTCCTTCACCCCACTCTCCAAATCCATCTCCCCTCCCCCCATTCCCTGTCCTCAGTAGGGCTGCTTTGCCCGGCCACCTCTGGGCGGGAGGTAGTTCCTTTAGGGTAAGTCCCGTGAGGGCTTCTGGGCCCCTGAAGATGTCCCCCGGGCCCCAGGGCACAGGCGCAGGGTCGGCTTCATGCTCCCTGCAGGTGCCGCGAGCAGCTGCGGCGTCAGCCAGATGGGCAGGCCTGTGGGTGGCAGGGAGGCAAGTGGGGGTCTGCCGGCTCGCCAGGAGGGTGCCTTGGGGCGGAGGGCGGGGAGAAGCAGCGGAAGCGTGTCCTCCGAGAGGAGAGCAGCCCGCAGGGGCTCCCCAGGGGCCGGGCCGCGGGGCCCAGCCGTAAGGCTGCGGGGCGGCGGGAGGGAGCCGCCGGCTGGCGCAGTCCCGCTGGCAGCCCGGCAGCCGCCTCCGCCCCTAGCGCTCTTGTCCTCTCCCTTCGCTCCCAGTCGACCGATTCACTTTCCCCGCCCTGGAAGAAGATGTGATTTACGACGACGTGCCCTGCGAGAACCTGGATGCCCATCAACCCGGTACGCCTCCTCCGCGCTTCCGTGCCACCTTGGGGGACGGGCCGGGGGGCGGGGCCTGGGGAGGGTCGTCTTCTATTTGGCTCCCCACCCCACCCGGCCCTGGCCGCTGCCTCCAGCTTTCACCAACCTCAGGTCGTCCTGGGAGAGGATGGTGCCGGCTGGGGGCGTGGCCAGGCCGGGGCTGGGCGGTGTTGGGCTTCGGGGGCAGGGACCCCCGGCTGGCTGCTGGGACCCCCTGGCGGCGAGGCCGGACCTGGCATTTCACCTCCCCAAGCCTCCATTCCTGCCTTGGGAGAAGGGGGTGGTATAGTCCGGGCTTCCCAGGGCTGCTGGGGAGAAGGGCAGCTCGTTAAACCTGACCGCTGAGGCAGAGAGGGCTCCAGAAAGCCTGTGCCTTGCTTGCTCTGGGCCCAGGGAGGCCGGGGCGGGGGTGTGGGGGGTGTGTGGGGGGGTGGGGATTGTGGCTGTAGAGAGGAAGCAGGGTGGGGTGGGGGTAAGTCTGCCCCAGCTGCCCCCCCCCCCCCAACCGCCCCCCAGCATAGAGTCAGTCACCCAGCAGGAGAGAGCATCACTCAGATCCAGGGAGGAGGAATGGTTAGTAACTTCACAGCCAGAGCCGTCTTTGTCCAAACACATCAGGGTAGCGACTCTTCGTGTTTGATTTCCTGGAATCTGCTTAGAAACTTTGATTTGGGGTATCGTGGCCTCAGTGTACAGACGAGGAAACTACAGGCAGAGCTGGGATTTGAACCTGGTTATTCTGCCTCCAAGTCCGCTGCTCTGTCCCCTGCCCCGGGAGGATTTGGGTGGCATCTTATGACCGATGACGCACATCTGCTCCCACCGGTCTGTCAACCCCTTGAGGTCAGCAAGGCAGGCCCAGTGGCTCCCGGGGACAGTTGCATCTGAGAGGTTAAGACACCGTCTCCAGATCACACAGCCCGTGTTTGAGGGGCTTCTAGTCTGATAGGGGTGGCCAGCACCATCTTGGGCTGTGCGTAGTCCAATGGGGGAGACACGTGGATAGCACTACAAGGCCCCAGGGCGCCCACAGCCATGCTCCCGACTCCTGTTCCAGGGGCAGGGACAGGTGGGCTGATGGTATGCACATCCCTTTAGCAAGTCCCGGAGGTGCTTGGAACATCCCTGCTGCTTGCTCCTTTGAATCCAGGGAGAGGAGGGGGAAGGGCACGCTGTACTGGGAGGCAGTGGGGTCTTGCCGAAGGTCCTGAGTGGCTGCAGTCCATTGTTTAGCCCTGTTGGGCTGTCTTCCCGCCTGAATCAAATCAAGCAACACATTACTTGGCCCCAATCTTCACTGAACAAGGATCACTATTATGCCATCCTGCATTTGACCCCGAGGTGGTTACAAGCAGGCAGCCTGGGAATCAGCTCCTGAGCCTTCAAGTGGGGGACCGTGACACCCATCCGAGGGCCCCCACCCTCACGGCTTCGGGACGGTGAGTCCCAGGAGGCTGTGGCTGGCCCTCAGTGGGGGGTCAGCTCAGGGCTGGCCCTCAGTAGGTGCACTGCACAAACGATGGTACTGTCGTTACCACGTCTGCCAGGGCCCAGCACTGACCTTCACGGACCGATGTGGGCTCAGTGGGCACGGGAGAGGAGGCTGTCAGCTGAGCAGCAGGCCGCACACGCAGCCCTTGGTTCAAATCCCAGCTCTGCCGCTGATTAGGGCACAGAGCTCCGTGCCTTCGGGCCTTGGCTTCTTCATATGACATCAGAATATCATCCTTACCTCATGGACTGTCATTCTGAAGCTCTGGGGAGTGTCACATCAGAGAACCGCTTCCTATCTCTGGACCTCAGTTGACGCATCTGTAAATTTGGGACAGTCACAGCTGCATCCTGGGCTTGTGAGTTTGCCGTGAGGTAATTGACGCAGAGCACTGAGCCGGTGGTGGTCCGTGCTTTGCAGGGGGAAGCCGTTCGTGAAGCCCGAGGCCCCGGGAAGCGGAGGGTGGGAGCCAGGATCCCTGTGAGGCCCCTGAAGGCTGAGGCTTTGGTCCAGGCTCAGGACTCTGGTGGCACTGTCTCCACTGGAGAGAATATTTCTAAATGAGCCCAGGAGGTGGTCAGGTTAGCCGGCCTCATAGAAGGCAGCGTGGTGAGTGGAGGGAGCCTGAGTCTGCAGCTCCTTCTCTGTGCCCTGTCTGACCTTGGACAAGCCACCTGTCTTCTCCAGGCCCCTGTTTTCTTGTGTTTCTAATGAGGCGGTGATTATTTGTAGCCCGCCGACCTTAGGGCTGCGGGAGAATCCAGCAAGAGAGGTGGCTCTCACTGAGGACATAGGCGGGTGGGAGGCCGGGGCTCATGGAAGCGTGGGGAGGTGGGCATTCGAGATGCTGCCTGGGTTCTTCCTCAGAAGGAGCCCCAAGAACTGGGCTCTGCCCCTTTACTCCCCAGTCATCGGGCCTCCGCTGCGGTAATAAGACAGTCGACCCAGTCTTGTAAAGGTCAATAGCCTGGTTACCAGCTGCTCCTGTCCCTGGAGATGTTAGTCACTTTTATCTTTTGCTTAAAAAATAACCTCACGCTCCCGCCTCATCCTGAGACCTGAGCCCCCAGCTAAGCCTCAGTGTGTCTGTTCTTTGGGTGACAGTCTCCCAGACCCCACACTCCCCAGCTTTCCGGTAGGGGCTCTGGGGTCAGTGGGATGATTCCCGGGCCCATGCAGACACTCCCCCCTCCCCCCCACCTCAAAGCAAGGATCAGCTGCTCTTTGCTGATCACCTGCCATGTGCTACACTCTTTGCTAGAGCTTTTGGTTCATATTTTATTTACTCGACCTTTTCTGGCTTGTTGTTGTCGCCGTTTTTGCAGAGAGGTCTCCGATAACCAAAGCTCCCTGTTCTGAGCAGATTTTTTTAAAAAACCCTTCCCAGTGCTGTATTTCTTGTGCGTTGACAAAGGCATTTTCATATTGGTGCGCTTTTTGGGGGTCTGGCCTCAGTGAGGCCTGCAGTTCGGTTCTCCCTCAGGTGACAGGCCAGGAAGTGCAGCCCAGAGGGGTGGGAGCGAAGGCCAAGGTCTCGGGATGGGAGAGCTGGGGTTACCTGGACAGCAGCTCTCCCACCTCAGCCTCAAAGCTGAGCATCTCACTCCGGATTTGACAGGGACCCTGGGAGTACCCAGGCCCCTGAGGGGACCTGTTTCTCCTGGCCAGTGGACTCTCAGCTCTTTGTCCCCCACTTCTCCAGTGGGGCTCTGGAAGACAAGGGAACACTCCTGGACGCTGGGCCTGGCGCGCCCCCTACTGGGCCTACTGGGCCATTCTGGACCTGCACGGGAAACTCAGATGTGGGAAACGCCAATTTAATGCTCCCGACAATTTCCATTTTGCGCGCCCCCCCCCCCACCCCGAGGATGCTGGGGCTGGAGCTGAGGGCCCGATTCAGGACTTGGTTCTAGGTCTTGTCTTTCCCACTGAAACATGCTCCGAGGCCCAGGATGAGCACTCAGATCCCAGAAGAGCAATACGGAGGCGCGGGGGGAGGGGGTTAAGGAGCCTGTTGCGTTCCCGACTCGTTTCTTGCGCCTCTCCGGTCTTTCTCGTCTCCTCCTCGCTTACCAGGTGGATGTTGTGTGGTCCTCACCCCTGCTCTGTGGACCGGGAAGTGGGGGCGGAGCCCCACCTGCCTGCCTGGGTCAGGAATCAGGTCTGGTGGCCTTGGCACCGGGGCCTCCCCTCACCAGCCCTGTTCCCTGGCCTGCAGGGGCGGAGAGGAGCCTGCTCTACGAGGATGTGCATCGGGACGGAGCGCCCAGGGAGCCCGAGGACCTAGGCTGGAGCTCCAGTGAGTTTGAGAGCTACAGTGAAGACTCGGGGGAGGAGGCCAAGCCAGAGGCCGAGCCCGCCAAGCACCGAGTGTCCTTCCAGCCCAAGGTAAGGGGTAGGCACCTCCCACCCCGGCCAGGGCTCCAGGACCCCCTGGGGAGGGGGTGAGGAGGGTGGGAAGGGTTGGCCTCAGACTCGTATCCTGTTAGGGAACCCCCCCGCCCCCAGGAATGTACAGTGAGAGGGGCGGTGGCCCGGGTACCCCAAGCATAGGAAGAGACCCCCCGGCATTGCTGTTTGTGCCCCAGTGTGGAGTCCCACGCAGGGCTCAGTCCCCCGACCGTGAGATCATGACCTGAGCCGAAATCAAGTCAGACACCCAACCTACTGAGCCCCTCCGAGGTCTTTTGAGATGCCATCCGTGCGTTGGTTTCTGCCTGGAACAGGGTTCATTCTGCTGGCTTCGTGGAAGGAGCCGGAAGCCGAGAGGAGGACGGACTGCTTCCTCCTGAGACAGACTGCTCCTCCCGTTTGTTCTACAGAAGCCAGCAGAAAGCAGATTCTACCCATGCTGAGATTTGGGGTTTAATGGGAACCACTCCTTACAGGCAGGCCCCGCCCGACCAGAGGTGACTGGGTCCCTCTCAGCCTCTTTGTGAAAAAACGCACATGACAGATACCCAAAGGTGGTGCAGGGAGAAGGTAGGGGCCCCAGGACTAGGCTGGGGTTATAGCACCCCATGTCTTTCCTAGTGCATCCTGCCCCTTTCGGAGTTTGAGGATCCCCTCTGGGGGAAGGCTGCCGGCCAGAGCGGCACCCACGCCTCTGAGTCCTCGAGGAGCCTGGGGGCGGAGCAGGTCTCTCTCGAATGTGGTCTTGCGGCCGGGCCTCCGTGGGCCGGGCCACGGAAGATGGCCTTGGTATCTCGCTAGGATGAAGTTAAGCATCTATGATACCTACCCTGTGCCCGGTCGTTTCTCAGGGTGCGGGCAGGGGGGAGCTTGAGGCCTGGGCCAGCCCTTGTTCTCAGCCTCTGGCTGTCCCTCCTGATCCCCCTGGGCCACTTTCCCAGGCCCCTGCCACACATTTCTCAGAGGGCAGGAGGTGTGGAGATGCCGAGTTTGGGCTTCCCAGTGCTGGTGCTCAGTCTTATATAAGCATCAGGACCACGAGGGGAGCTGATTGAAATCGCAGATGCCAGGGCCTCACTCCCAGGGACTCCGGCTCATGGTTTGGGGGTGGGGGGTGGGAGCCTGGCAATTTACCTTTTTTTTTTTTTTCAAGTTTATTTATTATTTTTTTTAATTTTTAAAAAATGTTTACTTTTTGAGAGAGAGAGAGAGAGAGAGACAGAGTGCAAGCAGGGGAGGGGCAGAGAGAGAGAGAGCGAGACACAGAATCCGAAGCAGGCTCCAGGCTCCGAGCCGTCAGCACAGAGCCCCACGTGGGACTCGAACCCACAAACTGTGAGATCGTGACCTGAGCCGAAGTCTTGCGCTCAGCCGACCGAGCCACCCAGGCGCCCCCTCCCTGGGCTGGCCCTCACCATGGCCGGGCCCCAGGGGAGGAGTCTCTGGCGGCCGACCATTAGCGTTTGTCCCTCAGACCCTCAAGCGAGGGGCTTTGGACCCTTCCTCAGCAGACAAACAGTGTGGCAGAGTTCTTGGAATTTCTAACCGGGAGGACTTTTTGTCTGGCTGCGGGCCACGGCCTGCCTGTTCCCCAGACAGCAGGCCCCCAGGGAGGTGAGGGTTGTGGAGGGACCTTTCCTTTGGCACCTTGCCTGCTGTGCTCTGCCCTCCTGGGCCGCTTGGGGCCCACCTGCTTCCGTGCCTGGCACCGCCGTGGCTGAACGTTCTGGGGCCACCACTGCTTGGCCGTGTCTTGTGTGTGCTGTGGGGCATGGGGCCACAGAGATCTGGTGGTGTTTTGCCCTGTCCTTGGAGTCTCACGGGGGCCTAGCTTCCTGTTCAGCTGCAAGCTGTCCCTGCTTCAGGTGTCTTAGAAGGCCAGCCCTCAGCGGGTGGATTTTTGCCAAAGAAAGTGACCGAGGGGTCTTCAGAGGGACCCCCTCAGAAGCACCTGACCCAGATGTAAGCAGGGGCCTGATCCCATTATGTTAATAAGTACCTGCTGATGGCCACCCATGGTCCTTGGGATTTTTTTTTTTCTTTCTAACCAGTTGTGGATTGGGCTGCATTGGATTCTTCCTTTTCCTGACTGTGACCTCTTCATAATTAAGGTTACCATGATCCAGCTGGCCAGGGCACTGGGCAGAAACGCCAGCTCTGACCTCTGACCTCAGCCTTGCTCACTCCCCTGCTCAGATCGGACCAGTCTGCAATCGATCTCTGATCCGGGTTCTTCTAATCCTGAGAGAGGCAGAGGGGAAGTGCAAAACCAGGGGCTTTATGATTTTATTGTGTCAATTTACAGGTGAACCAGGGCTCAGGACAAACCCCAGCCTCTCTCCAGTTGTGGGGAGTCTGAGTAACTCTCAGAAGGATCCCTGTCCTGCGATTTCTTTCTTTTTTTTCTTTAAATTTTTTTAAACATTTATTTATTTTTGAGAGACAGAGAGAGACAGAGCACGAGCAGGGAAGGGGCAGAGAGAGAGGGAGACACAGAATCTGAAGCAGGCTCCAGGCTCTGAGCTGTCAGCACAGACCCCGATGCGGGACTCGAACTCACGGACCATGAGATCATGACCTGAGCCGAGTCGGACGCTTAACCGACTGAGCCACCCAGGTGCCCCCTGTCCTGCGATTTCTTTGCATTGACAATAGAGAGCCTCTGCATAGTGTGGTGCAGTTTACAAAGTGGTTCCAGTGATTTTCCTGATACCCTAAAGTGGTTGGTGTTATTTGGATTAAGAGTCTCATGTTATTGATCAGAGACCCTAACACAGAAGTGTAGAGAGGCTAAATGATATGGTTAGGGTCACGCAGCCAGTAAGTGGTATACAACTCAACATCACACAAGATTTGAAAGAACATACATCGTTCTTCTGTCCATGCATCCATGCACCCATCTATTCATCCATCCAAGCATCCTTCCTTCTATCCTCCCTCCTTCCCTCCCTCCCTTCCATCCATCCATCCATCCATCCATCCATCCATCCGTCCATCCATCCATCCTACCAACTATCCACCCATTCAACAAATATTGAGCACTTATAATCTGAAAGATAGTGTAATACTAGCTTCCATGTTTTGAGTGCTTGCTAAGTCTTGGGGTCTACACGTATTTCCCATTCCATCTTCTCAGTAACTCCGTGAAGTGGTTATCATCCGGGCCGCTTTCCCAGTGAGGAAGGTGTCCCTCCGGGAGGTGAAGACACTATTCTGGCTAGTGAGCGGGGGGTGGCGACTTGAACCCAGGCCCGCCTGCCTCCAGCGCTCCTGCTCGTGGTCCCCTTCCTGGTCTACTCCGGAAGTAGTACCTTGTTGGGGTTCTGAATGCTTCACCGGATGTCAGTGTTGCTCATGCGTTTGAATGTCTGTGTTTGTCTCTCCATCCATCCGTCTTCCCAGGTGGCGCGTAAGCTAGTCAGCCACCCTTCCTTTCATCCAGACGCCCACCTGCCCTCCCTCCGTCCGTCCGTCCGTCCGTCCGTCCGTCCCTTGCTCTGTTTGCCCACTCCTTCCTGCAGCGGCGTGCCAGAGTCCGCTCTTCCTAGCTCACGACAACTAGGAACCAATCGCGCGCTCTTTCCGACTCCGCATTCAGCGACGTCACACTAGTGGCTTGAAATTTGCCACGGTGGCGTAGTGACATCATGGAAAGCCAACGAAGCAGGGGTCTATTTCCTGGAGAAGCGCGTGTTAAATATTTACCGGCACGGCACTGCTTCCATCCGTCCCCTGGTCCCCCCGGGTTTTTATCCATCTTCTTGTCCGTCTGTCCGTCCATTTACCCAGATCTGCACTCCTCCAGCCGAGTTTATCCATTTGCTCATCCAGCCATTTTTCTGTCTGTCCATCCAACCACTCATCCCTCTGTTTATAGTCCATCCGTCTGTCCAACCAGCTCTCTGTCCATTCACCCGTCTTCCTGTGCATTGGCCCACGCACCTGCCCATCCATCCATCTCCCAAACTTGCCAAGGACCTCCTGTGTCACCAGCCCCTCGCTGGCCCCTGGCATATGGGGGGATGCCTGAGACACAGTCCTTGTCCTCTAGGCACTGTTCCCCTTCTCTGAGCGGGGCCGGCTGGTCCCCTGCCCCTGGCCCCCCAGCAGCCAGGACTCCCAGCCCCCGCTGCCTGCGCGTTGGGGTGGGACGCTGCTGGAGCCGATCCCCGGCGGGAGCCATCCCCAGGCCCCACGTCCCACCTCACCTGGTCTCCTTTCTCCTCTGTTGTCCTGTCTGTGTCCTCCCGTCCCGCCTGCTCCTCGCACCTGCTCTCCTTCTGCCTGGCTGCTTGGGGGCTCCAGCTTTCTCCAGACCTGACTAGGCTAAAGGAGAGATACGCCAGGACTAAGAGAGACATCTTGGCTTTAAGAGCCGGGGGGAGAGACGTGCAGGCGCTGAAGCACAAGTACGACTGTAAGGTACTGTCTGTCTGTCCCCCGGCGGCCTGGCAGGGGCCCGCCCCGACGCCGGAGCCTGGCCGCCTCTCGCACCTGTGCCGGGACCGGTGGTGCCGGCACCTGCTCCTTTCCACGTTCTCGCCTCTCTCTCCGAGTGAAACTGTCACTGTGCCAGAATTCCTGGGGGGTGGGCTGGGCTGGGCTGGGGCGGTCTGCAAACTCTGGGGTCCTCAGAATCACCTGGGTGCTTTGGAGAATGCAGATTCCTGGGCTGCACCCCCAGAGATGCTGATTCTGTAGGTCTGGACTGAGGCCCAGGAATCCGGGAATTTGGTAACTGTGGCGGTGGGTTTGGGTGACACCTGGAGAGATGTGAGCCTTAGTGAGTGATGCTGAACGTTCCTCCCGCCCTGAGCCGTTCAGAGAGATCCAGGGTAAGGAAGTCTGTAGGAGAAATCATAACACCTTGGTCTTAGATGAGACCCAGACTTCTGGATAACGATGACACCGACAGCAGGAACTTCTCTTAGTTGAGCACCTACTATGTGCTGTGGAGGCCTGCAGGCCTGGCTCTGAATCCCCGTCCCACCACTTCCTCTCTTTGTGATCCCGGGCAGGTCTCTTGACCTCTCTGAGCCTTGGTTTCCTCACCTGTGAAATGGGGGCATTAACAGTACCAGCCCCCTGATAGATGTAAAGATTAGGTGAGCTCAGATCTATAAGGTGCTCAGTGCTGTGCTTGGTGTGACCTAAGAGCTCAGTGGGTGGTGGCTACTATTACTTACACACCTGACCGTTTTATCCCCAGGGCATCCGGGGAGGCAGCTGTCTTACTGCTGTCATTTAGCATCAGTGAGGCTGGAGAGAAGTAACTGGCCGATGGTCACAGCGCTGGTCAGTGGCAGAGCCGGGATTCAAACCGGGGTCTGCTGTCCATCCTGTGCCACGTCCTGTTTCATCAGAACCCGAGGCCTCCCCGGAGGGGGCGGGGGAGGAGGAGGAGGAGGTGGCGGGGGAGGGGAGGCACTTTATAGTTCCTATACACATGCCTTGGGGGGCCTGTGACCTGAGGGGGGCAGGTTTATGTTCTCAGAAGGCAAAGGCCCAGAGAGGAGAGGGAGCCTTGAAGGGAAGATTCTATGACCACTGTTCTTGCCCTGGCTGTGACCCTGGAATCAGACTCCTGGTCCAGCCTCTGCACTGTGGTTGATGGTGGGGACACCTTCCGGGATGTTCATTTGCTGCTCTTCTTTGCCCAGGAAAACAGCAAGAGAAGACCGCTTTGGGAGTTTGTAGGATAGCCGCCTGCCCCAGCTTTCTTCCGGGAAGGAACTGGGCTCAGAGCAGAGGTTTCCAATCTGGGGCTTGTGACCCCTCCCAACCCCCAGAGGAGGACGAGCATCTCTGTGTAGTTTCTGGGGTCGGACATCCGTGCTTCTCCTTAGATTATCACAGGTGTTTCTGACCCCCGAGCCCCACTCCTAGAAGCCAAGAATCACCACTGAAGAATTTTACCATTTCCATGCAGGGAGGCCCCAGGGGACTTCCCTTTCCTCCTGCGGGGTGTGTGTGTGGGGGGGGG